TATTCAGTTGCAGACACAGATTTAAACTCACAGTCTTTGGCTAATGATTTCAGTTTTTGTACGAACTGATCGATATCTTGTCCACTCTCCTGTTTGTAGGTCTGTAGCAGGTAGCGTGCATATATGACATTTTTTGGACGGACATATAATTTCCGTAACGTGGCGATTGCAGATTCATAGTCGGTGTGATCAGCAATGTGATCGTATACTAATGGATCCACAAAGTGGATGAGAGTTTCAAGTTTGTCGGGTTTAGAAGATTCGACGGTTTTCAGATAGGTTTCGAAGGTACGAAACCAGTGATTCCAGCGTTTTGCTGCATCTGCGGAGTTTGGGTCAGCGTCGAAGAACCGAGGTCGTAGTTGCGGGTCCATTGTGTTCTTAGACAAGTTTATTCAATAGGACTCGTGCTTCGTCTTGATCTTCAAAGAAGAAAGCGATGTCGTCTAAGCACTCCGGATCATTAAGTTCGTCACCACCAACAATTCGAACACAACGGTTTTTGATACCTTCCAGCGTTCTCATTATTTCGTGAGTGATAAAGTTGAACGTGAGCGAATAGAGTGAACACCACTTTTTGTTGGGGAGCTTTTGAAAAGCTCAGCATACACTCTTACGTCCAGACGTATGTGAATATACAGATCAGGTTATGTTCACTAATTTCTGGGGCATACCATGTTAAGCAAGCGTAGTTAACGGCACTGCCCGATTGACAGAATCGAACGCGTCCTTGAAGTCATGGAATACCAAAATCATCTGTACATGTGACAGTGTAAAGATGTGGTCAACGCAGCCTCTACCCGCTCGAAAACTCGCTTCATTCTTACGAGTCAAGGCTTCGCGCGCCACCGTAAGACGACGAGGAATCAGTGATGCCAGAAACCTTTGTCACGATAGGAGTCAAACTAATACCTCTGGGATCACTGCGAGTGCTCCTTTTGAAAATGGGCACTATTACTAACTTACCCTAGTTATCTGGAACATTCTCTTTCTCCAAAATAGGCCCTTATGGGCTAGAGAGGAACTGGTTCTGGAATCCTTTGCCATGCTTGACCAGAGCAAGTGGGAGGTCGTCAGGGCCAGGGGCACGATAGCGCTATCAAGCAGTCCAATCCTTCAACTGTAACACCCTAGCTGCCATACCACCCGAAGGAAGTACGAGGACTGGGAAACTGCGAGGTTGCCCAAGCCTAGAGAGGAGAAGTCGAGATGCAGAGGTCACGTTCGAACCACGGGCTTTCCGGTCAGTAAATTCGCGCCCTAACTACTGAGCCACCTTCCTCCACCCCGAGGTAATGCTTGAGTAGACATGTACGCTCGGACACAGGTTGAAGGCGATTCCATATTCACAGTCCACCTTTCTGTTGAAGGCCAGGATTCCTGATTGCATGTAGCAGGTGGCCAACTGAGGTGCTGTTCGAAGTACTGGTTATCAGAGAACCATTTTGATCTTTGATGGTTTCTCCCACAAGGGGCCTCCGAGGTGCGGTCGAACAAATCAATTGAAGCAGCTTTTTTGTCGCATGTCCCATTTCTTCGGCCTTTTGGGTCCATCAAGCTTCTCGGTCTGCAGGAACACTCAGTTTCACCTGGCTTCGGGTGGAACTATGGTTACGCGGAGGAGCAATGTGTCGCTGGACCTCCAGCAAACCCACGGTCCTGTCAGAGATCCAATGTTTGGACGAGGCTGGCTGGGTTGTACTGTAAACAGAAGTTCTGGCCAGGAGTGGTGTCTTAGATATGTTTTTCTAGTGGCCGTTTATATCCGACATCAGATCTTCCGGCAGGCGTTCGAAGAGCTGGTTCTGATACTTTCGTTTGATTCCTGGGTACACTAGCTTCTCACTGGCTAAGCGAGGTGTGCACATTTTGCGTAGACCTGAAAATTACAGTGGAAAGCCGTAGTGTACGAGTGAATGGTCGGAGTCCACGCTAGTGTTCCAGAAGGTGCGGCAGATGTTGATCGACCCTCACCATCAGTAACTACCGGTGAAGTGGTCTATTTGGATTCGGGTCTTGTTCTTTGATGGCAACCAGGTTGTCAAGCGATTCCCACTGTATCGGAAATTGGTACTGCAAAGACACAGTCAGTACTCGGCGCATATATGAAGTAGGCTATCTCCGTTGTCTGTGCGTCTCGTGTCCAATCCTAGACGACCATCCAAGCGAGTCTCAGCAGCGCTTAGTCTTCCTACCTGGGTGTTCATGCCATAACGATATGTGATCTTTTGGCTCGTTGTAGTGGGGTACGTAGATCGTCATAGAAACTGGCTGGCAGATTCAAAGCTATAGTCGGCTGGGATGTAAGCGGACAAATTGACAGAGTGAGATGGACCTCACCTCATCTAGATTAGCTCACAGACGTTGCCAAACGAACCGCACAGATGCGACTATCAACGGGAATCGAATGAAGTGGAGATGCTTCCGCTCGGTCTCCCTGTGCAGTACCCACCGCAGCATATCCAGCTGCAGTGGCCTCTGTATCACTTGAGGTGCATAACCGGAACCTTGAATAGAGTGAGATGGGAGTCAGTTCAGTCACAGTAGTCGCTTCCTGTATGTTTATTTTTAACAGACAGCGCGCACCAGTGCACAGAGAGAAAGAGCCACCTGTTGACCCTGAGTAGCTATGTCAGTTCCGGTGGTCTCGCGAAAGATGATATTTCCATCCGGATTGGGAAGGCCAGAGCAGCTTTTGTGAACCTGCGTCACCTGTGGCGTAGGCGTGACATAAGCTTATCCGTTAGGGGTCGAGTTTACAATGCTGCGGTGCGCTTTATACTACTATACGGATCAGGAGCATGACCGTTGCGTGTTGAGGACGTCAAAAGACTTTCAGTGTTTGAACATCGATGTCTTCGAAGCATTGTCCGGGTCTGGTGGGAACACCGGGGGATAGAATGTTGAGTGGTGGATGGTCATTGACGAAAAAAAACAACCAAACAGCTAGAACGAGGATGACTGCTCCGGTCAGTCGCGTGGGGTGTTCACTAAGAATCAGACTGATTTTTTCTTTATCTTTTTACTCGTGCACAGCTAAAATGTGAAATGGCCCTTGTTTTCAAAACTCAGGTGGAGAATATTAAAGACGAGCGATGCAGCTCAGATACATCTGGGTATTCCATTCACACTAACTTAATTTGCACATGACCGTTAATGCTGGCAACGCTCTATGCACGCAGTAAGATAAAGAAAAATCGGTCTAACGCTTAGTGGACATCTCATCTGACCCGGCAGCCTGATGACGTTTCCAAACAGAAAAGCCTATTAGACTTCCGTCAACCTAGGGATAACGTGAACACAAACTACATGTCAAGCTGAGTGTATCTAATGAGTAACAGCTACAGAGGTTTCTGACCAACTAGACTGTTGAAAATATTCTGCCCAGTAATCTAGACATGGGACTTTATTCTACATTGAACTGTTCATGTTACCTTTGACTAGCTCACTGACTGATCCTGTTTTGCGGACTAGTTAGAACAGCTTTCTTTTATTACGCGTTGTTCCAAACTCCATTTTTTTGAGTTTTCTGGTTTCTTCACGTCTACCTATCCACACACAAACCCCATTTGAGTTGACATAATCGTCATAGGTGACGTGGTTTAAGTACTGACTGTCACTCGTTCAGGAACACCTATGTAGATTCTGGTCATGAACTTGTGTGTTGCTGATTCTCGATGCATTCGGGATTTGCGCTATATGCGCATGCCCTCTGATAATGGACTGTGCTGTGGAACAAGCCTACCGAAACCGCCTACTGAGGTCCACACTACTCGCAAGTAGTTTGTACTCAGCAGTTTTACGTAGTCCGCCCCCCCCCCACAGCTGAACTCCGCTGGCCTACTGACAAAGCGCATCTGGACGCGTATCCGCCTGTACATCTGCTTTGCAGCCACTTCTCCAACTCGACCGAACTTGTTTGTTTTTAGGCCATGTTTTAATGGAGATGAAATAACCCTACCTTTAACGGTTGAACTGGCCTTGATTATTTTCTATATGGAAGGACTACTACGGCAACAGAGTTATTCAGTCCATCTCTACGTTTGTTATAATCATACAGATGAAGTCAACCTGTACCCAGTGAAAATCCACACGGCGATGGTGCATAATAGGGCTGTACCGATTTTTCAGCTCGGACGATTTCTCAAAGACGAATCAGCTAATTCACGTTTGCTTGCTTGATTATGACCTGACTAGTGGTGAACATTTGTGGCTGTGTCGAATTTCTGTGTAGTCTTCAGGAATTGTTGGATGTGGAGAACGTCCATAAAGGCTCCATTAGTCGTTGCATTTGCACTGAAAGGTGTCCGCTGATTTTTATTTGAGATCCTGTTTGAGGTTTTCTCATGCTTCTGTTTGACCGGGTGGTTCCACTCGCTTGTACTCAAGCATACGATTTTTGCTCGTACTGTTTGTCTTTTGGGTCACATTATCTGGCCTCCGTCAATGCAGTATGGCACAATGGTTACATAGATTGGTGAGGCCCCTTAATTTTTCTGCCTTACCGATCGCAAATCAACGGACCGTTTTACCTTGCTCGTCTAACAACAGCTGCATGGATACGCGACTTTACAGTCCTTGTTGGTGTGTAGGGTGATAGTCCCGTTCATCTGTCTAACGTCAACGAAAGAGAAAACAAGTCCACAACGTAACGGCAATCGTGGCTTTGTCTGCTGCTAATGGTGTCTTCGTAAACCAGTTAGAAACGTCGGTGCACTTCTTGATTTGATTTGCAAAGTAGCGCTGTGATTTTTGTTCCGGTGCTTTTCTTGTACGCTACCTTTCACCGTCTCAACTCTCACCTTGTATAGCCTTTGCAATTGTCAGGTGTCCAGTGCATTATCGACAGTTTCCCCATTGTGGTGTCCAGTCATTATCGACAGTTTCCCCATTGTCTCTGTTTCTGACTTCACCTTTTCCTTCCCACTTCCAGTGATTGCAAGTTTTCACTTTTCCAGTGGAGATTTTAGAGGCAGTGCTGTGGGCCATACCACACCGTCATGTTGGCAAACACTGGTCTCCAGCTAGTGAAAGAACTCAAACGATCGCAGTTCTATAAGATGCCACCTTACAATGACGAGAAGATAAGAGTGTGCTTGGAAGAGATGAAAACATTGTATGAGGCCAATTACCGTGACGTGGCTCTTGTGTCCGGTTCTTCCGAAAGTTCTTCGCAGTCCGAAGAACACGCCGGAAGAATACAGTGTGTACTCGTACGTCATGCAGTGCTGGAACGGAACAAACGCTGTCTATTAGCATATCACCACGCACGCCTAATGTATATCAAGGGGTTGCGTTGGCAATATGGAACAGTTCTCCCAAAAGGTTTGTCCATTTTACTTGTACTAGCCGAAATACGCCTCTGTTAACGCTTAAATCTTCCCGTGCAGTTTTCTTTTAACAAGGCACGTTTAGACGCTACTTCCTTTGCCATGTCTACTGGCAACCAACCAAAAGGTTGTATGTGCCTACCACACCATTAAGTTGGATTTTGATAAAAGTTTGTGATAATCAAGGCGTCTGTTGACCTCGATGTTACTTGTTGATTAGTACCCTGCAGTTGATGCCCACTTTTCACGACTCTGGAGGAGCCGGATCATGTCCGGAGACCGTCATCTTCCAGAATCAAGTTTGTGAGATCAATTTTTATCTAGTCTGTCTAATGTCCCTTCTAAAAGTTCAGGAAGCCCGGAGTGCTTCTAGCACGCTACCACACTTCATTGCTTCCTTTTTATTGTTTTAACGCGGCTTTCTCCGTAATCTTAGGTCAAGTGGCGGTTTCCCACAGAAGCAGTGCGCCCATTATGACCGCACCACACTTAAATTCACAGGTTATGCGAACGGACTACAGTAGTTGTCAAGACGAGGAAAAGAACTGATGTATCAGTCTTACCTGTGTCGCCAGTTCCTAATCAATCAAGAATCAAGCTACTAGGTTCGTCTAAATTTGTGTTCAGTTTAACGCACTTACTCTCAGGATATCTTTCATCTACTGGCGAACAAAGAATAATTCAGTTTAGAGCACGAACTTACTGAGTGTGTTTAGTCGTTTCTTGGTGTTGTCTAAATACGATTAGAATTCACACTTTCCCCAGCTGAAATAAGACATCAACATTGGGGTCTAATTGTGAATTCCTGAATGATTCGATGGGTAAAGTTTTTAAATCACTTCTTCAGACGAAGAAAAATGGTTTGGCCATACTGGTTTTTATAGCCGATTCCGATCCTTACGGATTCATTCCACTCGGAGACTGAGAGTCCTCCTGAAGTACAATATATGGTCTGGTAAGTTTGCTTTACGAGCATTCACAGCAGTACATTGGTGCTGGTATCATGATCTAATATGTAACTGTTTCCAACGCCTCAGAGGGTGTAGGTCCAGCGCGAACGGTGGAGAAATGCGGAGCCCGTACGCTGTTGATTTTAACCAAGGGGTGTGAAACTGCATGGTGCATTCGCAGTGTATCTGTAACGAATTTCTATGGGTTGCCGATCAGATTCACTAGCTGATATTCGCCTTGTTTTAGAATGGAGTCAAGTTCACTTAAGCTAACTCAGTTTAAATGAATATTGCAGCAGTCACTGTACTGCAATATCCAATTTAAAGTATGCAATTCACAATCTGGTCGTATTTCTTTATTGACTTTCTTCCGCACATCCTATGGGCCGTAGTCTTCTTGTTCTAAGCGTTGGCTTCAGCTCCGTCGGTAACGTCCACATTTTAATTAGCTTAGTTCAAACAACCTGTTCCTTGTTCGTTAACTTATCTCTAGCACAGTTTGTTTTATCCTTTAACATGACATCCACATAATTTCTCCGCTTTTCTGATCCGCCGGGCCTTTTGTATACTTTAATGTGTATGTTTGGATTTTTATTTCAGAAGTCCGGCAGTCATTATCTGAGGCCGAACAAGCTTGGTTTAAAGCTTACTGTGGAACTTTGGCCAATTTTATGCAGGCGGACGTAGCTGAGCGTGGTGGAGCTGGAGGTTTGGATCTCACGCAGTCACAACTGCCACCCAAATCGTTGTTCCTGGAAGTTCGTTGTCTGGTCGATTTTGGTGAATTTGAAACGGAAGATGGCGGGGTGTTACAGCTCACCAAGGACAGCCATCATTTGATGTCTAGAAGTGATTGTGAAACTCTCATTCGGCAAGGCGTGTTAGAACACATCACAACTTGATTTTGTCGCTCACCTGTCATCTGTATATACTCCTATGCCGTGAACGACCAGAGTTAAACTTATTTCTATGCAATCATCAACTGAAATATAATCTTGTTACTATTTACACCTGAACGATAGTATTTCTCCAGACCATCCATTTCGGGTAATCAGGTGTACAATCCACTCACCTAGTTAGTTACACGTCAGGCCCTACAGTTTATTGGCTCCAGTAATTCGAGGAAGGAAACCTCACTAAACAACTAACGGTTCCTATTGGTATGGATTTAATCAATGGAACTGTAAAACAAGTGGTCACTTCTAAGAATGGTCTCTTCGAGGGTACAGCCGTGTCATCAAACAATTGTCCATGTTCGAATTCGTGGGTAGTCCCTTCGGAACATTGATATTTCACAGAATGAACTCCGTGATGGACCAAAGTCATCTTCTCTATTATCGTTCTTCGGTGGTGTAATTGAAATAACTAGGCATCGTATGCGGGAGAGAATCTGTTGCTGATTCAGTATTGTCAGTAAAACTAACATGCACAGGATATTTGCGCTCAAATGACCCAGTGGATTCAGGAACAAGGTAAAAACGTAAATAATTTAGTGGATTCATGCAATGTTACACTTGTGAACACAACACCAATGGAACACTGTGGACTTGATTAGGTCAAAGCAGAAGTGTCAGACAAAACTGCCTGCACTGATCACCAGCCTCGACAACTATACTACCAAACAGCTGATTTACGGTTATAGTGTGCATCACGTGACGAAAAACTGTTCGCCTGACGCAGCCGTCACCTGGCCTTATTTATTTACTGACTAAAACCCCAGGTGGTAAGTTCTTCATCAATTGCGAGTGTATGGATGAAAAGATCGAATACGTGCGGACTGAAGCAAAGGTGTGTTGACCATTCGACCAAAAGTAAAATCCATACAGCAACGGTTTTGTAAAATACGATGTTACCACCAGTGATTTGTGCAGAAGGCAGTCCCTGTCCAGAACTAGGAACTGCGAAGAGGTCACAATTGTGTTGTTGATTTTGAAAGGTGTTCAGCTACTCAGCGTGCCTTAAGACTCACAGTGCAGACTACCTGCCTGCAACTTATCCATAAACAGAGCCCAACTTGGTGTTTTTATCATCGGTGTCGTTAATCACGTGCTGCGCTGGCACATACTCCGATAGCGCGACTCGTGATCGCCACTAAATGTGCTTGAAAAACAAGGTACACTTAACAAGACATACTATCAGAGAGGTTGCTGAAAATTCTTTAGTTGGAGAATATCATTAAACAGAGATTTAGTTGAGTTTCCCATCAAAACAGAATTAGACGGCTAATGAGGGCACTTTGCGGAGGTACGCTTATGTTTAGGGAGAAAACCTGTCTTGATGAAGAACATTGAGCACACTAACATCCTTACACGGGTTTCCAACGAATTCTGCGGTAGGTGACCTAACAAGTCCTATGGAAAGTTTGTATAGAATTCCAAGGAAACCTCCACGAGGGCTAATCAGAGACCGGACTTGGTCAAGATCTCTCTCCCAGTGAACCGTGCGAGCCGTGGACACTTAAGTTCAAGGACCTTACACACGACTGCCACTCTACTGGTAGAATTGAAAATCAAAACCGCTTCAAATTGAGATAGATTTTGTTTTTAATGAGATATCCAGCCGTTCACTTTGTTCACAAAACAACAGCGAGCGTTTAGCGGATAAGGTGAAATTTTACATTTTATGAACGATGTGAATGAAGAGAATATCCGTGAGGAAGACTCGACAAGATGGCCAATCAGTTCTTCGACAACAGTCATGAATTACAACATGTAAGTGATAAATAAGACCAAGAATAGAAATTAAGCAGTGAAATGAGCGGGAATATCGAAAGGGGATTGCATTGTCGTGCAGTCTGTCAGATGACCGGAATCTAACTGACTATACGGGGTGATTGTCGCGAAGTCGTGCTAAATCTGTATTATGGTGACACAGGCAACCTCACAATCCGTCTGGCTACCGAAAATGTTCTTGTTCCCGCCACATCCTGAATAGGAAAACGGTACACAGGTCCGATTCGCAATATTCCAGGCCCATCGCCTTAAATCTTCGGTGCAATCTCCACGTTCAATCGGGTGGTCACATTGTGGGTTCTTGGATGCTGAAATGTTTGAAAATAATTCACAATCTTACAGAACAGGTATAAATTACAGGACAGCATCAGGGAGCAAAATGGTTTCTATGGGACGGTGTCGAACCACCCACGATTCCACCTGGCTTCTCAAGGGAAAACATGTTGCAGCACTGCATGCTCGTTAGATAAATCTATTTTGCCGAAGTACTAGTAACTCGGGTGAGTTTATTGGTTGTTGATCAGGTAGCTGTTGACCTGACCTGTTGACAGATCAACATCCACCTGATCAACAGCGAACGAATATTTGTTCTGCGTTTTGAAGTCCAAGGTAACACTGGTGGAAAATGCAACTTCAAAATGTCAAGTTCCGCTGCATGATATTCATTCCTCCTATGCCCGTTGGTCATTTCATCAAGAGAAGCTTTGGCATTTCGAGCCCGCTTACTCATCTCCATAGCCGCCCAAGCTGTGACCACAGTTTTAATTGGCAAATGCGGAACAAACCGACTCAGGTTTACACAATGTTGAAACTAAAATGTAATTAGGTTGGGCTAGTTTCCCTCACCGGGAGTTGCAAATGACGTCATCCGTCACTGTGCGTACGGGAAGCAATGGCTAGATGCATTTGCGTGCATTCTCAAGACTCTAGTAATATTCGAATACTTACACTATTTGTGGTATTTCAAAAGGAAGTTCATTAGAACTGAGTACTAGGAAACATTCGCACACACAGGTCACTGAGTGATGCTCTCCAGATCAGAAGGGTTTGGATATGTACTACACTTATCCGTCTTCCTTTTCTCAAAGGGGCAGTTTTCCGTCCCCGTTCCTTACTAGTGAAAGGCCAGCGGTGAATAAGCCATGTCAACAGGAACTGAAACAGCCACTGTTGGATAAGGCCAAACGGGATCTTCATTCTTTCCTGGAAGAAACGTAAAAGACTGGATAGAAACCCCACAGGGTGACACCCTTTCATAACGGCAGATCTGTGGAAACTTCTGAGCCAGACTGGATAGTTGTTTGCGTCGATTGTAATAAAAATATTGTGTTAGTTAGGGTCCGGAAAAGGGGTTGATCAGTGAAAGGTTGATGGAGGTGTGCTGCTAACATGGTCTCGCTTCAACATTGTGCTGAATGATGCGTGGTCGAATTAAGGGAACTTTCATAGAGGGATTTAGGGTGCTTTTACAGTGACTACCTGCCACCATAAATGATTTTATTGACAAAGACATTCCCGCAATATCAGTCAGGCGGCACACTGTTGGCGTTGGAGCTGAATAAAGAAGTCATTACTTGCCTACACACTGTCACGTACATAATCACCAGCAATTGAAATCGGTGCCAATTATGCCCCTGAAGCATCAAGGCAATTATCATCAGTGGCTTCTTAAAAGGTCCCTGAGTGAAAAGTTCCTGTAAATTAACAAACAATATTACCAAATGGTGGGTTGTCGTGGGGCCAGGCCGATGAATCTGGACAGTCAATGAGTAATATCACGCACGCCACAAACCGAATGCCCTGCACTCGGTGTAAGCCCGGGGGAATAAGACGGGAAGATGAACAAGCGAAGTCGATTCAATGACCACCAGCATACTGAACCGTTGGCCCATGATGACCAAATCGAGTGGGGATAACTGAATATTCGAAACCGACAGCTTACACGAAAGGTGGCCCGAACCCAAGGCCGTCATTCAGTTTGTTTACACGAAAGGCGGCCTGGCGGCCCGAACCCAAGGCCGTCATTCAGTTTGTCCTGTACAACGATGGCCGCAGACAGTCACCTCTGGTACCATCGTAGGCTTCACACTATGGAGTGTCTAGTGTTGAGGCGAGCCGTTTGCGTACATGCGCACGAAACACGAACAATAGAAGGGACAAAGCACTTAAAAGAAACTCAACAAAATACGTAAAAGATAGAAGTGAAAAACATGGAGACGGTTCGGCAACTTAAACTAGGGTTTGACGAAACACTTGAGATTCACACGAAGTTACTCTAGCACGTTTGTAAGCCCAAAACTCCAGAATGTCTAAGGCGTTAAGCTATGACATTTGTAGACAGGTGAAATTAGTAAAATTCAGTGCCCCCAATATCTAGTAATAATATGATAAGATTCAGTACATACAATATAAATGTTAGTTGCCAACGAAAAAGCCTGAATTAGCGAATCACACAACGTCACCATTCAGGTGCCCAACTGGTGGCCCATAACTACCAAGAAAAACGGAGACAGCTGAACATTTGAGACCCACACTCAATAAAATCGTAGGTCTAGCAGTCCAGACTATCCACGGTGTTAAGGCGGGTAGACTGAGGGACGGCATCACTGATAATCCGAACCGAGAGTACAACCGCATGGTGTCGTACGGTTAACTGTGGTGTGACTGCATTTGGTCTAGACGACAGCGATCAGACTGAGGGAATCACTGATAATCCGAACCGAGAGTACAACCGCATGGTGTCGTACGGTTAACTGTGGTGTGACTGCATTTGGTCTAGACGGACGACATCACTGCTTTGCAGCCACTTCTCCAACTCGACCGAACTTGTTTGTTTTTAGGCCATGTTTTAATGGAGATGAAATAACCCTACCTTTAACGGTTGAACTGGCCTTGATTATTTTCTATATGGAAGGACTACTACGGCAACAGAGTTATTCAGTCCATCTCTACGTTTGTTATAATCATACAGATGAAGTCAACCTGTACCCAGTGAAAATCCACACGGCGATGGTGCATAATAGGGCTGTACCGATTTTTCAGCTCGGACGATTTCTCAAAGACGAATCAGCTAATTCACGTTTGCTTGCTTGATTATGACCTGACTAGTGGTGAACATTTGTGGCTGTGTCGAATTTCTGTGTAGTCTTCAGGAATTGTTGGATGTGGAGAACGTCCATAAAGGCTCCATTAGTCGTTGCATTTGCACTGAAAGGTGTCCGCTGATTTTTATTTGAGATCCTGTTTGAGGTTTTCTCATGCTTCTGTTTGACCGGGTGGTTCCACTCGCTTGTACTCAAGCATACGATTTTTGCTCGTACTGTTTGTCTTTTGGGTCACATTATCTGGCCTCCGTCAATGCAGTATGGCACAATGGTTACATAGATTGGTGAGGCCCCTTAATTTTTCTGCCTTACCGATCGCAAATCAACGGACCGTTTTACCTTGCTCGTCTAACAACAGCTGCATGGATACGCGACTTTACAGTCCTTGTTGGTGTGTAGGGTGATAGTCCCGTTCATCTGTCTAACGTCAACGAAAGAGAAAACAAGTCCACAACGTAACGGCAATCGTGGCTTTGTCTGCTGCTAATGGTGTCTTCGTAAACCAGTTAGAAACGTCGGTGCACTTCTTGATTTGATTTGCAAAGTAGCGCTGTGATTTTTGTTCCGGTGCTTTTCTTGTACGCTACCTTTCACCGTCTCAACTCTCACCTTGTATAGCCTTTGCAATTGTCAGGTGTCCAGTGCATTATCGACAGTTTTTCCCCATTGTCTCTGTTTCTGACTTCACCTTTTCCTTCCCACTTCCAGTGATTGCAAGTTTTCATTTTTCCAGTGGAGATTTTAGAGGCAGTGCTGTGGGCCATACCACACCGTCATGTTGGCAAACACTGGCCTCCAGCTAGTGAAAGAACTCAAACGATCGCAGTTCTATAAGATGCCACCTTACAATGACGAGAAGATAAGAGTGTGCTTGGAAGAGATGAAAACATTGTATGAGGCCAATTACCGTGACGTGGCTCTTGTGTCCGGTTCTTCCGAAAGTTCTTCGCAGTCCGAAGAACACGCCGGAAGAATACAGTGTGTACTCGTACGTCATGCAGTGCTGGAACGGAACAAACGCTGTCTATTAGCATATCACCACGCACGCCTAATGTATATCAAGGGGTTGCGTTGGCAATATGGAACAGTTCTCCCAAAAGGTTTGTCCATTTTACTTGTACTAGCCGAAATACGCCTCTGTTAACGCTTAAATCTTCCCGTGCAGTTTTCTTTTAACAAGGCACGTTTAGACGCTACTTCCTTTGCCATGTCTACTGGCAACCAACCAAAAGGTTGTATGTGCCTACCACACCATTAAGTTGGATTTTGATAAAAGTTTGTGATAATCAAGGCGTCTGTTGACCTCGATGTTACTTGTTGATTAGTACCCTGCAGTTGATGCCCACTTTTCACGACTCTGGAGGAGCCGGATCATGTCCGGAGACCGTCATCTTCCAGAATCAAGTTTGTGAGATCAATTTTTATCTAGTCTGTCTAATGTCCCTTCTAAAAGTTCAGGAAGCCCGGAGTGCTTCTAGCACGCTACCACACTTCATTGCTTCCTTTTTATTGTTTTAACGCGGCTTTCTCCGTAATCTTAGGTCAAGTGGCGGTTTCCCACAGAAGCAGTGCGCCCATTATGACCGCACCACACTTAAATTCACAGGTTATGCGAACGGACTACAGTAGTTGTCAAGACGAGGAAAAGAACTGATGTATCAGTCTTACCTGTGTCGCCAGTTCCTAATCAATCAAGAATCAAGCTACTAGGTTCGTCTAAATTTGTGTTCAGTTTAACGCACTTACTCTCAGGATATCTTTCATCTACTGGTGAACAAAGAATAATTCAGTTTAGAGCACGAACTTACTGAGTGTGTTTAGTCGTTTCTTGGTGTTGTCTAAATACGATTAGAATTCACACTTTCCCCAGCTGAAATAAGACATCAACATTGGGGTCTAATTGTGAATTCCTGAATGATTCGATGGGTAAAGTTTTTAAATCACTTCTTCAGACGAAGAAAAATGGTTTGGCCATACTGGTTTTTATAGCCGATTCCGATCCTTACGGATTCATTCCACTCGGAGACTGAGAGTCCTCCTGAAGTACAATATATGGTCTGGTAAGTTTGCTTTACGAGCATTCACAGCAGTACATTGGTGCTGGTATCATGATCTAATATGTAACTGTTTCCAACGCCTCAGAGGGTGTAGGTCCAGCGCGAACGGTGGAGAAATGCGGAGCCCGTACGCTGTTGATTTTAACCAAGGGGTGTGAAACTGCATGGTGCATTCGCAGTGTATCTGTAACGAATTTCTATGGGTTGCCGATCAGATTCACTAGCTGATATTCGCCTTGTTTTAGAATGGAGTCAAGTTCACTTAAGCTAACTCAGTTTAAATGAATATTGCAGCAGTCACTGTACTGCAATATCCAATTTACAGTATGCAATTCACAATCTGGTCGTATTTCTTTATTGACTTTCTTCCGCACATCCTATGGGCCGTAGTCTTCTTGTTGTTCTAAGCGTTGGCTTCAGCTCCGTCGGTACCGTCCACGTTTTAATTAGCTTAGTTCAAACAACCTGTTCCTTGTTCGTTAACTTATCTCTAGCACAGTTTGTTTTATCCTTTAACATGACATCCACATAATTTCTCCGCTTTTCTGATCCGCCGGGCCTTTTGTATACTTTAATGTGTATGTTTGGATTTTTATTTCAGAAGTCCGGCAGTCATTATCTGAGGCCGAACAAGCTTGGTTTAAAGCTTACTGTGGAACTTTGGCCAATTTTATGCAGGCGGACGTAGCTGAGCGTGGTGGAGCTGGAGGTTTGGATCTCACGCAGTCACAACTGCCACCCAAATCGTTGTTCCTGGAAGTTCGTTGTCTGGTCGATTTTGGTGAATTTGAAACGGAAGATGGCGGGGTGTTACAGCTCACCAAGGACAGCCATCATTTGATGTCTAGAAGTGATTGTGAAACTCTCATTCGGCAAGGCGTGTTAGAACACATCACAACTTGATTTTGTCGCTCACCTGTCATCTGTATATACTCCTATGCCGTGAACGACCAGAGTTAAACTTATTTCTATGCAATCATCAACTGAAATATAATCTTGTTACTATTTACACCTGAACGATAGTATTTCTCCAGACCATCCATTTCGGGTAATCAGGTGTACAATCCACTCACCTAGTTAGTTACACGTCAGGCCCTACAGTTTATTGGCTCCAGTAATTCGAGGAAGGAAACCTCACTAAACAACTAACGGTTCCTATTGGTATGGATTTAATCAATGGAACTGTAAAACAAGTGGTCACTTCTAAGAATGGTCTCTTCGAGGGTACAGCCGTGTCATCAAACAATTGTCCATGTTCGAATTCGTGGGTAGTCCCTTCGGAACATTGATATTTCACAGAATGAACTCCGTGATGGACCAAAGTCATCTTCTCTATTATCGTTCTTCGGTGGTGTAATTGAAATAACTAGGCATCGTATGCGGGAGAGAATCTGTTGCTGATTCAGTATTGTCAGTAAAACTAACATGCACAGGATATTTGCGCTCAAATGACCCAGTGGATTCAGGAACAAGGTAAAAACGTAAATAATTTAGTGGATTCATGCAATGTTACACTTGTGAACACAACACCAATGGAACACTGTGGACTTGATTAGGTCGAAGCAGAAGTGTCAGACAAAACTGCCTGCACTGATCACCAGCCTCGACAACTATACTACCAAACAGCTGATTTACGGTTATAGTGTGCATCACGTGACGAAAAACTGTTCGCCTGACGCAGCCGTCACCTGGCCTTATTTATTTACTGACTAAAACCCCAGGTGGTAAGTTCTTCATCAATTGCGAGTGTATGGATGAAAAGATCGAATACGTGCGGACTGAAGCAAAGGTGTGTTGACCATTCGACCAAAAGTAAAATCCATACAGCAACGGTTTTGTAAAATACGATGTTACCACCAGTGATTTGTGCAGAAGGCAGTCCCTGTCCAGAACTAGGAACTGCGAAGAGGTCACAATTGTGTTGTTGATTTTGAAAGGTGTTCAGCTACTCAGCGTGCCTTAAGACTCACAGTGCAGACTACCTGCCTGCAACTTATCCATAAACAGAGCCCAACTTGGTGTTTTTATCATCGGTGTCGTTAATCACGTGCTGCGCTGGCACATACTCCGATAGCGCGACTCGTGATCGCCACTAAATGTGCTTGAAAAACAAGGTACACTTAACAAGACATACTATCAGAGAGGTTGCTGAAAATTCTTTAGTTGGAGAATATCATTAAACAGAGATTTAGTTGAGTTTCCCATCAAAACAGAATTAGACGGCTAATGAGGGCACTTTGCGGAGGTACGCTTATGTTTAGGGAGAAAACCTGTCTTGATGAAGAACATTGAGCACACTAACATCCTTACACGGGTTTCCAACGAATTCTGCGGTAGGTGACCTAACAAGTCCTATGGAAAGTTTGTATAGAATTCCAAGGAAACCTCCACGAGGGCTAATCAGAGACCGGACTTGGTCAAGATCTCTCTCCCAGTGAACCGTGCGAGCCGTGGACCCTCAGGTTCAAGGACCTTACACACGACTGCCACTCTACTGGTAGAATTGAAAATCAAAACCGCTTCAAATTGAGATAGATTTTGTTTTTAATGAGATATCCAGCCGTTCACTTTGTTCACAAAACAACAGCGAGCGTTTAGCGGATAAGGTGAAATTTTACATTTTATGAACGATGTGAATGAAGAGAATATCCGTGAGGAAGACTCGACAAGATGGCCAATCAGTTCTTCGACAACAGTCATGAATTACAACATGTAAGTGATAAATAAGACCAAGAATAGAAATTAAGCAGTGAAATGAGCGGGAATATCGAAAGGGGATTGCATTGTCGTGCAGTCTGTCAGATGACCGGAATCTAACTGACTATACGGGGTGATTGTCGCGAAGTCGTGCTAAATCTGTATTATGGTGACACAGGCAACCTCACAATCCGTCTGGCTACCGAAAATGTTCTTGTTCCCGCCACATCCTGAATAGGAAAACGGTACACAGGTCCGATTCGCAATATTCCAGGCCCATCGCCTTAAATCTTCGGTGCAATCTCCACGTTCAATCGGGTGGTCACATTGTGGGTTCTTGGATGCTGAAATGTTTGAAAATAATTCACAATCTTACAGAACAGGTATAAATTACAGGACAGCATCAGGGAGCAAAATGGTTTCTATGGGACGGTGTCGAACCACCCACGATTCCACCTGGCTTCTCAAGGGAAAACATGTTGCAGCACTGCATGCTCGTTAGATAAATCTATTTTGCCGAAGTACTGGTAACTCGGGTGAGTTTATTGGTTGTTGATCAGGTAGCTGTTGACCTGACCTGTTGACAGATCAACATCCACCTGATCAACAGCGAACGAATATTTGTTCTGCGTTTTGAAGTCCAAGGTAACACTGGTGGAAAATGCAACTTCAAAATGTCAAGTTCCGCTGCATGATATTCATTCCTCCTATGCCCGTTGGTCATTTCATCAAGAGAAGCTTTGGCATTTCGAGCCCGCTTACTCATCTCCATAGCCGCCCAAGCTGTGACCACAGTTTTAATTGGCAAATGCGGAACAAACCGACTCAGGTTTACACAATGTTGAAACTAAAATGTAATTAGGTTGGGCTAGTTTCCCTCACCGGGAGTTGCAAATGACGTCATCCGTCACTGTGCGTACGGGAAGCAATGGCTAGATGCATTTGCGTGCATTCTCAAGACTCTAGTAATATTCGAATACTTACACTATTTGTGGTATTTCAAAAGGAAGTTCATTAGAACTGAGTACTAGGAAACATTCGCACACACAGGTCACTGAGTGATGCTCTCCAGATCAGAAGGGTTTGGATATGTACTACACTTATCCGTCTTCCTTTTCTCAAAGGGGCAGTTTTCCGTCCCCGTTCCTTACTAGTGAAAGGCCAGCGGTGAATAAGCCATGTCAACAGGAACTGAAACAGCCACTGTTGGATAAGGCCAAACGGGATCTTCATTCTTTCCTGGAAGAAACGTAAAAGACTGGATAGAAACCCCACAGGGTGACACCCTTTCATAACGGCAGATCTGTGGAAACTTCTGAGCCAGACTGGATAGTTGTTTGCGTCGATTGTAATAAAAATATTGTGTTAGTTAGGGTCCGGAAAAGGGGTTGATCAGTGAAAGGTTGATGGAGGTGTGCTGCTAACATGGTCTCGCTTCAACATTGTGCTGAATGATGCGTGGTCGAATTAAGGGAACTTTCATAGAGGGATTTAGGGTGCTTTTACAGTGACTACCTGCCACCATAAATGATTTTATTGACAAAGACATTCCCGCAATATCAGTCAGGCGGCACACTGTTGGCGTTGGAGCTGAATAAAGAAGTCATTACTTGCCTACACACTGTCACGTACATAATCACCAGCAATTGAAATCGGTGCCAATTATGCCCCTGAAGCATCAAGGCAATTATCATCAGTGGCTTCTTAAAAGGTCCCTGAGTGAAAAGTTCCTGTAAATTAACAAACAATATTACCAAATGGTGGGTTGTCGTGGGGCCAGGCCGATGAATCTGGACAGTCAATGAGTAATATCACGCACGCCACAAACCGAATGCCCTGCACTCGGTGTAAGCCCGGGGGAATAAGACGGGAAGATGAACAAGCGAAGTCGATTCAATGACCACCAGCATACTGAACCGTTGGCCCATGATGACCAAATCGAGTGGGGATAACTGAATATTCGAAACCGACAGCTTACACGAAAGGTGGCCCGAACCCAAGGCCGTCATTCAGTTTGTCCTGTACAACGATGGCCGCAGACAGTCACCTCTGGTACCATCGTAGGCTTCACACTATGGAGTGTCTAGTGTTGAGGCGAGCCGTTTGCGTACATGCGCACGAAACACGAACAATAGAAGGGACAAAGCACTTAAAAGAAACTCAACAAAATACGTAAAAGATAGAAGTGAAAAACATGGAGACGGTTCGGCAACTTAAACTAGGGTTTGACGAAACACTTGAGATTCACACGAAGTTACTCTAGCACGTTTGTAAGCCCAAAACTCCAGAATGTCTAAGGCGTTAAGCTATGACATTTGTAGACAGGTGAAATTAGTAAAATTCAGTGCCCCCAATATCTAGTAATAATATGATAAGATTCAGTACATACAATATAAATGTTAGTTGCCAACGAAAAAGCCTGAATTAGCGAATCACACAACGTCACCATTCAGGTGCCCAACTGGTGGCCCATAACTACCAAGAAAAACGGAGACAGCTGAACATTTGAGACCCACACTCAATAAAATCGTAGGTCTAGCAGTCCAGACTATCCACGGTGTTAAGGCGGGTAGACTGAGGGACGGCATCACTGATAATCCGAACCGAGAGTACAACCGCATGGTGTCGTACGGTTAACTGTGGTGTGACTGCATTTGGTCTAGACGACAGCGATCATGAAAATTCATTTCTAGCACCAATGCAAGTTTATCTCGGCGAGTTTGAATATTAGATGTTATATATTATTATATTATATATATTATATATACAGATTATATATACATTATACATTATATACATTACAGTATATACACTATATATATATATATATCCCTACAACCTAAATGTCAGAATTCGTAACGAAACCCACGAAGCAATTGAGAAGTCTTCAATCACAAATAAGAGAAAGTTATAAAAATAAAAATGCAACAGTATCCTCTAGTAGAGAGGATGGGATCGAAGACCCGGCGTTTCGTCCCTAGGTAGGCACGGAGGGTTACTATTACGGAGCTTCGACAACAACAGAAGTGCATAGGCCAAAGTTTCACAGATACAGCAGCCATCTCCAATAAACACCATGGGACGGAGGGTACTTGGCTACCGGCAGAAAAACGTTAACTCCATTCACAAGCACTCAGGGTCATCTGAAGTTTCATTGATCGTGTTGTTTAAGCTCATTTCTTGTAAATGCCACCGTGAGACACAAG